CTTTTAAACTGTAAGTGTATTTTATTTAGTTATGGTAGTTATAATGTAAATACAATAAAAATTAAACCAAGATTTAGAATAATAGTCATTTTGATCCATACATTAGTAATGTCTGACTGGACCTCGTGTCACTTTATGTTCAATAAACTGGACCCTGAGATCAAAAAGGTTAAGAACCCCTACATTACTATCTACCATGTGTTTTATCCATGCTCTGCAGTCATTCTTCACATTTAAAGTTGCTCTGGTCCAGACCGCAATGTACAAAAAGTCATTTATTCCGCTTGCAATATTTTTAAAAAGAACTGTAATTTAATTTATTTTAACAGTCCATTTTATGTGTTTTTATGTGTATTTTAAGTGTTTTTATGCAAGTATGCTGTACTTGGAGCCCTAAACTTCCTGTCACTACCTGGGACAGACAATAAAGTTTCTATTCTATTCTATTCTATTCTATTCTATTCTATTCTATTCTATTCTATTCTATTCTATTCTATTCACCCCACATGTTGCTGACATTTTCTCAACTTTTCGTAACTATAAATGTATTTGGGAGCATGGTGCTGGGTTTATGTATGTGCACTCCTAACTGTGAAAGGGTCAGTATCTCTGGGAGCATGCACTGTATCAGTAACCACAAGGATTAACTGTAATCAAATCTGGAACAGGGCAGGAAATTTAGGTGTTTCTACAAGCTGCTTTGTTGTTTGTTTAATATGTTTGTTTAAAACAGCTTTATCACAGATAGACAGAAGGTACAGAGGACTGACCTGGGACTTCCTGTGCTAGTGTCAACAGAACTACCCCCAGATTAACACAATAAAACCCAAAGAACCTGTGGTGGATTTATATGGACACACACACACTTCACCAATGTCAACACCCAGGGGACAACACGGAGATGGTGACAACTGTTTCACCAGAATAACAAATTGGACTGGAACTACAACACTGCTGTTATTTATAAGGTCAGAGCAGATTCTGGCAGAAGACTCAGGTCATTTAGAGTCCAGTTTAAACCATTGTTACAGTGCGGTGTGCTGGAGCAGGGGCACTGAGGCAGCTGACAGGAGAACACTGCTCTGTCCTGGAGGGTCCTCTGGACTCTGTGGGGATAATGGCAGATGAGGGTGAGGGGCAAACACTCATCTGTGTTGGTGAAAGACTTCCACCCCTTGAAGGGGTCTTTGAAGGCACCAGAGGGCTCCTTCAGCCAGAGACTGTTCCACCTGAAGTGCATGAAGCTGTTTTAGAGRTCCTGTCCAACCAAAATCTGACAGGAGCACTTTCTCACTCCTGCCCAAACTATGCTTTAAAATGAAGTTTGATCGTACGAAAAATCACTCATTTATTTAGAATATTTAGCTTTAAAAATGTGAGAGATATTTGTCTATAATNGCAATATTCACATATAACTGTTTAATAAAAAAAGTTGAATTTATTTTGTAGTTTTAGGAAATAATCTAGGTCAAATTACCATCACTAATATTTAAAGGATGTTTTATTCACATTGAATCAACAGTTGTCTAAAGGTTTCAGTAATAGTTCCGTACTTTTGACGAGGCTGTACGATGAGTTTAAATTATGGTCTCATAATATTCTGTAGTCTATCTGCAGCTTCTTGAGGTACACACACATCCAGCCCCACCTAAAATGAATGTATTTTTAATTTGAACTGTGTAAAATAAAACCGACAGGTACACAGCTTTCTGGATTGGATTTCTAATTTGATTTGAGGTAATAATTCTGCAATAAAACTCCAGATTAACTCAATGAGGAGGGGGTGGTAAGACTCATGTGAAGCAATTCTAAAGAGTCTTTTTTACTCTTAGGTTTTAACCCTTTCACTTCTAAACCTAAGATAGGGCTCACACCTGCAGCCTCTGGATTACAAAACTGCAGCTCTGACCACTCTAGACTTCCAGCAGCACAGAACTGATCAGATCAGATAGACCTGTGGGCAGTCTAAGTGTAAGTAGACACAGGAAATAGGCCTCAGATTTCTGTGTTCTCTTCTGTCCAATCTGCTACAAACTGCTGATTAATAATCTGTTTTCTAATTTTAGTTTCACAAATGAATATTTAAACATATTTTACATGACTTTTGCATAAAATAAAACTACATGAGATTCAGACTTAGTGACTGTATGAATGAGCTAAAACCATTTCAATTCAATTCAATTAATTTGTACAGCGCAAAGTCACAACAAACGTAGTTTCAGGGCACTGTACAAAAAAATAACCTAAAAAAGTCAGCAGATTGTGTTGAATCCATTGATCTATATTACTGGATTGGACATGGCCTATAGCCGCTACAGCTAGCGATGCGCCGTCACAGGAGCCATTACTATGCATTGAGTCAGGTCAACACAATGCAGGATGAGCGTCAATCTGTCACAAAAATATTCATAGCACCCTCATTTCTTATCAGATTTCTATAAAATATGGCTTAAATTAAAGCTGAGAAAATTGTCGATGTTGTGATATGTAAAAAATATGTATTTGTTCAAGAGATAAATCTATAAGCAGTCTGGGAACTTTTCATTAAAGGTTTTTGCTAACGTATTTACAGAAATAAATATATATATATATAATTCTAATTTTGCATTTGTTTCCTGGTTCTTGATTCGCGATGAAGTGACTAAAGACAAATTCCTCCAGCTGGTCATCAGATAAATGCGCTCGGCCCCTCCAATGCTTATCTTATGAAATGTAAAGTGGAGGAAAAATAAGTTACAGAGTTTTTTACTCTGATAAATAATATGGATGCACGATATATCAGTATTGACATCAGTATCGGTCGATATTGGTCATTTTTTAGAATATCGGTTGTTCTGATATGTAAAACGAGGCAGATATTAACATCCAATATTGATTTCCCACTTTTTATCTTTGTGTTTGTTTTGTGAGGGGCGATGGTTGGTTGAGTGGTATCTGTTTGATAATTATAGTGAAACTGACGCTGCACAGCCAGGAAGAACTGAAGCAGGGAGCCATGTCAGAGGTCCGGTTGTTTACATATCAAGAAAAGGCCCACGTGTGTTTTTACATATATGTGTAATATAATTTGTGTGTTTGTGTAATATCAGTTATCGGCCATAACAGCAATAATTATATCAGATATTGATATCGACTGAAATTTTCCTATCGGTGCATCCCTGATATAAAATCACAAACTACAGGATCAACAGTACCATCTGCTGACTGACAGAACATCAGTACCAGTAATATCTACACAGTGCGTCGCTAGCTGTAGCAGCTGTAGGCCATGTCCAGTCCACTAATATGGATCAAAGGTATAAACACTTGGACATTTTTGATTTTCATACAGAAAAATAAAATGTGAAAATTCATTAAAATTAAAAATTTAAAAAGAGCAGAAATATTTTAGGGCTTCAGATTTTGTAAATTCTTGTGTATAATCCTCGTGTCTGTTAGTGTGTACTGAGTACTATAATCCAGTGAAATTAGGAGGACAGGGAAGTGATCAGTGGTTCTGTGAATGACGGAGCCTAAATGCTACGTACCGTTAGGTTTGGGATGCATGAGAGGCAGGCGTTTCTGCTCAGGTGACGAGTCTGGCTGGGATATTTCTTCCTCTCCTTCTTGATCTTTAGAAACTCCTGGGATGTCATCAAGGCCCAGGAAGGCTTCACCCTCAAAATCATCGGTCTTCAAGGTGTCGTGGTCCAGAACCGTGACCACCAAGCAAGCTCCTGGAGCCAGGCATTGATCCAAGGAAACCAGGCTGAGATTGAAAAAGTAGATCAGTGTCTGTGAAAACATGATCCTGRCAGCATTTAGGCTACATTTAGTCAAAAACAGGAGTTTATACAGAGCTTTGCTCTTATCATGAATGTCACATTATGTCTGAGCTCTTAATTATTTATTTAARCAGATTTTTCCAGAACAACATGATTAAACATCTGTGAGTTTTACAAACAAGATTTGAACACAAGTTAGAAAAAAGGATTTTCTCTAATCCAAACGGTCATTATTATATAAAGTAACTGAAATATGTCCACACAGTGACACTTAAKTATGTGGACTGAAGGTCTTAGACTGTCTTTAACYTGACATSGACAAGGTTTGTCTTGACAAGTATAAAATGATGTGTTTGACTGAACTTATAGTGTTAAATATCCCCTCCAACAGAAGGAAAATGATCAGGATTTTCAGAAACAACTCAGGAACTACAAGACTCATGCCTGCCGTGAACTGTTGGAGCACCAGTGTTGCTGTCCACACTGAGGGGGAGCCATAGATCGAGCTTTATCACATACATAACGTGTCTGGAGGAGTCAAGTTCAGGCTTTCAAACAAGCATGGTGGTGGCATCATCATGCTATGGGACTGGTGTGTTGCACAAAGAGAATGGGGTAAAGAAGAAGGAGGTTTATCATTAAATTATTTAACTTCATCTCAAATTACCAGCTGGACAGTAAAGGTTTGGTTAGACCAAACACATCATAACTGGTTTCTGGTTTAATAAATCAGGCTAACTTTAAGTCTCAAACCTGTGGAAAATCCATGGACCATTTCTAAAAGCTGGTTTTGTCCCACTTTAACCAGTTTAAATAAACTAACAATTCTGTTTWAAGGAGTGGTCGACTATCAGAGAGTAAAATATGTGAGTGTATGTTTATATTTGAACCTGCAGTACAGGWATCCACAAAAATCCACTCTAAATTCAAACTTTGTACCTAAACCTTGTTTTACAAGAAGAACTCAAACACATCAACTGGTCTGCCTCTGCCTGCCCTAGAGTCATCTGTGTTTAAAGCACTGRGGATGTAGTTACCTTTTTACCTCTGTGTTTGGACGTAAATACACCAACAATGTCTGAACACGACTTCCTCTTTGATATTTACCATGTTTAATCAGGTGTTTTAGTTGWACTGTCAAAGAATTAGAAAACATGCCAGTTTTATCAGCCAGAGGACAGTATGTTTCTGGTCCCAGTGGGTGGAGGCATAAAAACCAACAAAGTTGTCTGTTGCAGTTAAAGTCAGACACAACCAGACTCATGAACAGTGTGTGTAAACTAACTGTCATTTCTCTCAAAGCATCTTCCAGTGTGGAACAACACAAGCAGCAGAACAATGATATACCACACTTTCATAAGCATTAAATGCTAAATCTGTTGAAAGAAACCATAAAAACCAAACGTCTAAAGAAATRTAGAAGTTTTATGAGGTGTTACTGGATTTAAAGAAAGTATTGAAACCAGATGAAGCTGTTCTGAAAGCAAGTGGTGACTCAGTTTACCAACCAAAGTCTTTAATCTGTGAACCAGAGCCCTGGAGCAGGTGGGAATTATCGATGCAACAACTTACAACTCGAAGGACTCGTCAAACAGAGGATTGAGATCACAGTGTTTGATGTGAGTGCAGCGTGGCTCCACCTCAGGAAACATGTGGGCAGGTTCCAGACACAGGTGGACAAAAGGGTCGCTGAGACCTGGCAGGTATGAAACCATCAGGTGAACTCAACAGAAACATCTCAGAGTACTGTGTGTACTGTACAGTACTGTAAATACTGTAACTGTGTTGTTTCACCAGCTCTCACCATTAGAGTCCATTGGTAAGAGGTTGACWGCATTCAGCACTTCAACTCGCAGCTTCTGATCAGASCTTCTGTAGGATGTGAGCAGGGTAACCGCTCCGTACTTCTCCCCCGTGTAGTTCTTCTGCAGGGAAAACAGGACAGAACAAAATAAAAACTACTAATGACTGAAGGAATAATAAGAAATGAGTCTGGGCTGTTTGGGTCGAACCTTGTAACTGTGATGTCACCAGGTCACCTTTGTAAAACAGATCCTGATCTCAGTGAGTTTCTACCTGGTTATATAAAGATTATTGATTGATTATACACAATCATATAAGATCTCACCTGATCTGTTGTATGKTGAGGATGATTTTCAGGTACAACCACACATTTAACTCAATACCTGTGAAGGTGACTGAGTTCAAATCATTTGTGTGTTGGTTGAATGACCTGGTGACCATGTTGAGTTGTGTTGACACTGACTGTTAATGAGTTATAAAGTTACTTTATTTGTCATCAGTTAGTGTTAAATGTGTGCTCTGCATGTCATCCATCACACATGAGAAGCACCAGGTGGAGCAGCAGGCAGCTGTGGAAGCAGCCCGGGGAGCAGCTTAGATGACTTGCTCAAGGACACCACACATGTGGCGGGGAGTCGAACCTGTGACTTTCTGGTCCCAAGTTGGCTTCTCTACCACTGCACCTACAGCTAAACTGGTAAAGTATAAAATATCTCAAAGTGATGCTTGAGTACTTTACCATAAAATTACACTGATAAAAGCTGAAGTCTTCTCTGTACCCCTTCACAATAAGACTCCTCTTATAAAAGGCTTATAGTTTATAAATAGGTTATTAATTCATCTGTAAACTCTTTATAAATTATTAGTAAATGTTTTATACAATAATTAAAAACAAGAAAGAGACAAAACTGTCCAGTTTCTTACCAAATAATGAGACAAATCTGTTCATGTACATATTACATCTAAAGGTGTTTATTAAACATTTCAGACTGGGATTTTGGTATTGGTATTAGTAATTGGGGATGGGTACAACCCAGGTGAGCGG